ATAAAGCACATTACTGGGGGCATTTCTGGAGACATTAATGAAATCTCTAGTGAAAGGTTACAGGAGTTCTTTCAGTTATTCTCGCAATTTTTCTTTTCTTTTTTTTTTTTTTTTTTTTTTGAGACGGAGTCTCACTCTGTTGCTTAGGCTGGATGGAGTGCAATGGGTGATCTCAGCTCACTGCTGCCTCCATCTCCTGAGTTTAAGTGATTCTCCTGCTTCAGCCTCCCGAGTAGCTGGGACTACAGGTGTGTGCCACCACACCTGACTAATTTTTGTATTTTTAATGGAGATGAGGTTTTGTCATAATGGCTAGGCTAGTCTCAAACTCCTGACTTCAAGTGATCCACCTGCCTCAGCCTCCCAAAGTGCTGGGATTAAAGGCGTGAGCCATCGTCCCTGGTCAGTTTTTCAAATCTTTTAATATTTTCTTCCTACAGGACAAAGAATCACTTTGTACACCCCACTGACAGAAACAAAAACACTGACATGGCTTTCCTAATTGCTCAGAACATTACCAACAGATACAACTATTCTCTTTGCATGGTTTACAATGCATTAAATCTTTTTCTACAACAACAGCTATTTTCTGTTCACAAAGTCTTTCAAGTAGGAAAGCTTCAGTGAGCCCACCTGATATAGAGACCAGCTTACAGAAGCCAGATAGATGCCAGGCAGTAAAAGCTATAGCTACTGTGATAGCATAAAACCTGAGACATTATTGAAGATACTCAAACATCAAGTGAAGACATAGGCAGATATGGACAATACAAATACTCTCTATTCCCTGCTTTTTCTTCATAAAAATTATGTTTTGTTATTTGTTAAATATGTATAATTCATATTAAAATGTACGCTACATGAAGTTGAAGGCTTTATATTCCCAAAGACTAGAAGAACATCTGACACATCAGACACCACAAGAAATATTTAATAAATGAATGAATATACCATCCAGAATGAACTCCATACCCTGAAAACAGAGAATATACCTTGTTTTAATGCCCATGGTATAGTTATGGAAGCTGATCAACTAATGAACCATTAATAATCATGGATTTTAAAAGTAAAATTACAGTACAGGCAACACTATCATCACAGAATAATTAGAATACAGTATGTCAGAATCTGTGTAAATTACTATATATCAGAATCATGGGATACAGTTATGGCACTACTTAAAGGAAATTTCAAACTACTTACATTAAATAAGAAAAATAAACTATCCAAATTAAAATGTTAAGATTTTTATTAAAAACAAAACACATGTGTAAAAGCATTTTTAGCAGGCAAACTGACATCTATTAATATTTACAATACATATATATACCCACTGACCCAGAAATTCTGCTTCTAGTAACCTATCTTATAAAAACTAAAGTACTAATTCATGAAAATATTATGTACCAGAATTTACTGCAGCACTGTTTTGTACTGTAAACAGAGTGACTAGCTAAATTATTTGGCATATCCTCACCATGAACTATTACTTGGCCATTAAAAAGACTCAATTTGGTTGGATTATAGGCTCATGCCTATAATCCCAGCACTTTGGGAGACCAAGGCAGGAGGATCGCTTGAGCCCAGGAGTTCAAGACCATCTGAGGCAATAAAGCGAGACCTCATCTCTACAAAAAAGTTAAAAAATAAAATAAAATAAAATAGATGGGTATGGTAGCGCACACCTGTGGTCCCAGCTACTCGGCAGGCTAAGGCAGGAGGAATGCTTAAGCCTGGCAGTTCCAGGCCACAGTGAGCCGTGATCACACCATTGCACTCAAGCCTGGGCAACAGAACTTTGTCTCAAAAAAAAACAACAAAAAAGACTCAGTTAAACAATCAAAAACCCTAAATGTTTATGAATATAGAGAAAAATATGGAAGAATTTATAGCAAGATGTTATCATGGCTGTGGCGATTAGAGATGTATATATGTGTTTTTATTTCATTTATGTGAAATTTTATATGCATACACAAAATGTTTTTTAAAAAAGACAGGAAGAGAAAAATAAAATTAACATAAAAACTGTTATTTTACAAACTGAAAAATCACAATGGCAAAGATATAGAATCAACCTAAATGTCCATCAATGGATGACTGGATAAAGAAAATGTAGTACATACAGACAATGGCATACTATTCAGCCATAAAAAAGAATGAAATCATGTCTTCTGCAGCAACATGGATGGAACTGCAGGCCATTATCTTAAGTGAAACAACTCAGAAACATAAAGTCAGAGACTGAATGTCCTCACTTCTCACTAATAAGTGGGAGCTAGATAATGTGTACATATGGACATAGAGAGTGGAATGAGAGAAAAGAGAGACTTGGAAGGGTGGGAGGCGACTGAGGGATGAGAAATTACTTAATGGGTACAATATACATTATTCAAGTGGTGGGATACACTAAAAACCCAGACTTCACCACTACACAATATATTCATGCAACAAAACTTCACTTGTATCCATTAAAATTATACAAATAAAAAATAATAAAAATAAATAAAAACAATTAAGTTAAAATAAATTTATTTGCAGATATTTCTTTGGAGGAGAAAGATAAGCCACTAGATGATCTAATTTTTCAAAGTGTTTTACAATTCTGCTTTTCACATAGGTCTTAATTATATCAGACATTATCTGGATATATCAGGCTCCAGTGTCACGTTTTTTAAATGTTTATCCCAGCACACTATTTATTGAAAAGTTCATTCTTTCTCCATTGGATTTGTAATGCCACTGCTACTATATCCCAAACTCCAGATATATTTAGATTTATTTGCAGATTCTGTTTCACTGGTCTATTTGACATCAACAGTACAACACTGTTTACATCACTACAGCTTTATAATTACGCACATATGGTATCTTGAGTCTTCACGTCTTTTTCAAGGCATTTTTGCCATTTAGCCCTTTACTCTTTCATCTTACTTTTAAAAATCAACTTGTCAACTTCCATGCAAAATAAAAAATAAAAAAATTTTGATTTTTGACTGGAACCAAATTAAATTATCACCTTAATTTGAGGAGAACTGATATTTATATGACATTGAGTCTTCCTAGCTAAGGATGTCATGATTCTCCTTTTACTCTGATTTACTTTTATTTCCTTTAGAAATGACTTGTAATTTCCTTATATAGGTCTCACACACTTTTGGTGTGTTTATTCCTATTATTCATTACAGTTTTTATGGTAAAGTATTTTGAAAACAAATTTTCTAATTTATGCTGATAGCTGATCTTATTACATTGAACCTTGCTAATTTCCTAATAGTTCTTGTAGTCTATAGACTTTCCTAGATTTTCTGCATAATTATATTATCTTTAAATAATTGTGTTTTTCATTCTAATTCTTACAACTTATTTATTTTTCACTTTACTGTAGGGGTTGTTACCATGTTGAGTGGAAGCAGTGACTAGGTGTCATTGTTTGGTTCTGATTTTAAAGCAAATGTTTCTAACTTTACCACTCAGTATAGCAAATGCCCAATTACCCAGTCAAGGAAATTCTCTTTCCATTCCCAGCTGGCTATTTTTATAACTACTCAGTGATGAATTTTATCAAAGCATTTTTTTCAGCATCTATTCTATTACTTCTTTTGGAAGAAACAGTCTGCCATGGGTTCTGAATGTCCCTGCACATAATTGCCATGTATGTCAAATTCCAAGACCAAACTATCCACTGACACTGAACAGTTTCTGAGGCTGGTTACAGAGACGATTAAAAAGGTTAAGGTGACCACAATGTGACTACCATGGCAGGTCACTCCCAGGGAAAAGAGGACTAGCTTGCTTTCTGCTTTCTACAAAAGGTACCAAGCTCTTGACCCTGGGTTCCACAGCCACAGTGTATCCCACTGTGTGCATAGCCACCATCTCTGCCTATCACATCGCCCTGTGGGATTTGGGGACAGGGAACCTGCACTACAATCCTGATCCTCTTGCTGACTGCTGTGCTGTGAATAAAAATCTGTCTTGCTCTGATTCACCGAATCTTGTCTACTTTTGGCATCTATGAAGTTGTGACAGTTGATGCCTTGCCACTCTCTATGAGACTGGGGTTCTTTTCCCTGATAGTTCATAAGAAATCTTTACAAGGCTCCTTTTACAACTTCCAATACCACCACTGTGATGTCATTTAAAAACAAAAACTATCAATTGATTTAAATGTGTCCATCGTTTCCTTCCCACAACTATTCTATTAGATGCCCTCTATAAGTAATCAAAGCCAACAATGATGGAGGCCCTTGCAAAATGTGTTTCCCAAAAGAACTTTATTAAAGAAACTGAGATAATGCCTTACGATACTCTTTGTAAGAACCCAAGTATTTCCAGAATACTTCTGAAAAAATGCCTTACTTTCTAATTAAGCAAACCTATCAAATTAAGTTCTAATTAAGTAAACCTCATAATCCATACCACACATTAATTTAATAATTAACTTGCAAAACTACATCAATAGTTTTTTGTTTTTTTTTAAAGACAGAGTCTCACTCTGTTGCCCAGGCTGGAGTGCAGTTGCATGATCTCAGCTCACTGCAACCTCCACCTCCCAGGTTCAAGCAATTCTCCTGCCTCAACCTCCCGAGTAGCTGGGATTACAGGCGACCACCACCATGCCTAGTTAATTTTTTTTTTTTGTACTTTTAGTAAAGGCGGGGTTCTACCATGTTGGCCAGGCTGGTCTCGAACTCCTGACCTCAAGTGATTTGCCCACCTTGGCCTCCCAAAGCACAGAGATTACCAGTGTGAGCCACCACACCAGGCCCAAATATTTTTAAATATATTTTTTATGATTTACAAAATGCCAAGAGATGTGGAACACTAGTTATCAGTGCTATTATACTGCATAGTCACATAAAGAATATAATGCTTGTTGCTTTCAAACTTTAAAATCCCAGTAAAATATTTCATCTATGTGCTTGACTCTATATTTCAAAAGCAGACATCTCGATGAGTCAAGTATCAAAGTACTTATGCTATTATTTTTATCCTTTTACCTGTATTCAGGTTGCCTGCTTGCAGAATGATCATCTCTTGTCCATCTATAGCCAGATTCATCCTGTAACATAAAAAAGCTACTTAGCTATTTGTTTACATTATTTTGGACAAGTGGGATATATGTAACAATACTACCAGAAACTAGTCTAAATTTCCCTCAACTTCAAAGGCATTTAAAGGAAAAAACATTCAGCAAGTCATCCATTTCAACAACTGAAAGAGTAGACTGACTGAGAACCTGTGGTACCATTTATCTCTATTAAAATGCTTAAATTATTTCTTTGGTAGACTCAAACCACCTAATTGCCAAAGACACATATATCAATATCACAACAGTAAAGGGCTATTTGAGGACATAGTCTAAATTTAATAAAGCACACATTTCTCAACCTCACATTTTTCCTTCTGTCAAGTTCTCTCACTAATTTTCAGATTCAAGCCCAATGAAAAACTTGCCACTTTCCCATTTTCCTGCTCAAGTTTTATTTTCTCACCTTATTTTCAATTAAAAACCAAACTGGAAACAATATAAGAAACTGTCACTTACTGATAATCTGTATCAGAATAAGATTTAAATTTAGTTAAGTTTAAATAAATTTAAAATTAATCAAATAAAGCACATTTTGTTCTCTAAGACAGACATATATGCAAAGGTGCATCAAAAAGAACCATATAGCAATCCACACCAAATTACTTTAAAATTACACATAGAATTGGCTGGGCATGGTGGCTCACGCCTGTAATTCCAGCACTTTGGGATGCCGAGGAGGGTGTATCACTTGAGGTCAGGAGTTCAAGACCAGCCTGGCCAACATGGTGAAACCCCATCTCTACAAAAATTAGCCAGGCACGGTGGTGTGCGCCTATAGTCCCAGCTACTTGGGAGGCTGAGGCAGGAGAATTACTTGAACCCAAGAGCTGGAGGTTGCAGTGAGCCAAGATCGTGCCACTGCACTCCAGCCTGGGCAACAGAATGAGATGCTATCTCAAAATATAAATAAATAAAATTATACATAGAATAATACAATATGCAAATTATATATCAGGAAAATGGATTCATCTAAAATAAATCTTCCTCTTTAGCATCACATACCCTATTCTTATATAAAATATAATCATTTTCCATCTCAATATTAAATATAAACACAATTCGAAACTTAACCGCAATAATAAAATATTAAATCAAGTAATCTGCTTGCATTACATAACTGAACTCTAGATAAGAATCAGTGTCATGAGAGTCTTAAGGATCACAAGCATGCTTGTTGTCTGTTTGAAGGGAATTTAAAAAAAAAAGTTACACACACAAAAGTATAAAGACAAATACAACTGGTAACAATATTAGAAAAAACTGCCATTGAAGCTCTATTATGCTACAAGTTTTTAGGAAAAAAAATCATTTTCATGAGATTTCAAATACAAACTGGTCCAATGAATAGAAAACTCACATAGCGTTTTCATAAAAGCGGTAACAAATGAGAGGGTGCACTAAAATCTCAAACTTTCACCACTATTCAAGTCATCCATGTAACCAAAAGCTACTTGAATCCCAAAAGCTACTGAAACAAAATAAAAATTTAATAATAAAGTAAATATGAGGGCCACAAAAAAGAAACAGCATGACATACAAAAACTGAATAAAATAAAAATCAATTCTGTGAAAAGTAAGAAAGCTATAAAACCCCAAACTTTAGAAACAAACACAAGAAAACATTGAATAGTCTCATGACAACTTTGGAATTGTTAGGGGTCACTATGACGCAGTCGGAAGAAAAACCAGACCCCCATACATACCCATCCTGAGTAAATCACCTTACCTCCATTTCTTCAAGCGTAAAATATGAAAACTAATTCCAACAGCCAAAGTGAGGTCAAAATATTTTATAAACAGGGTTTGAATATGTACTGTTAATAGTCATATTATACAGTAGGAAAGGAGGGGAAAGAGAAAAGGTGGAGAAAAAAGAGAAAAGGTAGGAAAACAACCTAACTGAGGAATACTGAAAACATGCAAAGTGGGACAGAGGAATTCCATCAAGGAATAGTATTAAGTTCAATTACAGATTACTGCAACATTAAATACACACTTCTAGATTATTAAGAATGCTCAAGAGAAACAAGTTGTAATCATAATAATAGCAGCTAACTATTTTTTTTTTTTTTTTTGAGACAAAGTCTCGCTCTGTCACCTAGGCTGGAATGCAGTGTTGCGATCTCAGCTCACTACAACCTATGCCTCCCAGGTTTAAGCAATTCTCCTGCCTCAGCCTCCCAAGTAGCTGGGATTACAGGCAACTGCCACCACACCTGACTGATTTTTGTATTTTTAGTAGAGACAGGGTTTTACCATGTTGACCAGGCTGGTCTAAACTCCTGACTTCAGGTGACCCACCTACCTCAGCCTCCCAAAGTACTGGGATTACAGGTGTGAGCCACCACACCCAGCCAGCTAACATGTTTAAATTGCTTCCTATGACAATGTTTTGAGTGCTTTCTAATCTCAGTTAATAAACAGACTTTAGGCTGGGAGTAGAGGCTCATTCCTGTAATCCTAACACCTTGGGAGGCTGAGGCGGGCAGATCACTTGAGGTCAGGAGTTCGAGACCAGCCTGGCCAACATGGTGAAACCCTGTCTCTACTGAAAATACAAAAATTAGCCAGGCATGGTAGCACGTGCCTGTAATTCCAGCTACTTGGGAGGGTGAGGCAGAGAATCACTTGAACCCAGAAGGCACAGGTTGTAGTGAGCCAAGATCGCGCCACTGCACTTCAACCTAGGTGACAGAGTGAGACTCTGTCTCAAAAAAAAAAAAAAAAGAAAAGTAGGTCATCTAGTAAGAAATGGTAACCACCTGCCCATCACTTATTAAGTACCAAGACAATAGATTACCTTTAAATGGTTTTGCAAATCCCTGCCAATTTTAGGGGATTAAAAAAAGCAGGCTGGTTGGAATTAATTTCATTTAGATAGTGCCACCCAGAGTGCTTACCTACTTTGTCCAGCACCCCAAGATTCTTGACTACTAGGTCCCATCTGACAGCTCCAGCAGGCAATTCACATAAGAGCATCAAGCAGAAAGTGTTTATTCAACTGCTTTCATGGCCGTCACATAAATGTTTTAAATTACATTAATTTTAAACTTATAAGAAATAACAATTAGTACATGGGGGAAATTTACATACTCCTCTGTGAGGTGGACCACTTCTTCGATCATGAGAAAAACTGCGGCCCTCGTCATAGTCTCGGTAATCAACATGACTGTAATATCTACTGTAGCTTCCTTCACCAGGTCTGTCTAGCAGTGGTGGTTTCTTTGGCACAATATTAACTAGTCTATTGTAGCCATCCTAAAACAGACAAAAAGAAATATATACAAATCACTAATTTCTCTATTTGGTTTTGGAAAGGTTTTAAAAAAAGCACAGGAGTTCTTACCCTTAATCAAATAAACTAAATGTATAAACAAAAGCATTAATGAAATAACATAAATATAACTCAATACTAAGGTCTTCACATGGATTAAAAGAAATCAAGTTGTTCAATGAAGAAAGCCAGGTGTTCAAAATAACATGCAGCAATGCAAAAACCAATCATAAATAAAAGAAAAAATACAATATTATCATTTTAATAAAAAATAAACAAGACAGAATGTTACAGTAGCTCTATCCCTAATTGCCTAACAATTTTAGAAATAAAATTATGTAAGACAGCACTCATATTTGGTCTACTGTGTTTGAACTACACTATTTAGAAGAAATATAAACTATTTACACACGAGCAACAGCTAATGATGATACTGAGCCAGAATGATCAAAAGGAAACATTTTGCTATTTTTCCAGCAGTAATGGAGAGAGGAGAGCCTTTGGCTTTACAGGTCTAGAAGCAAAATAAAAGCTGATATAAATTTTGAATTAATTTTCAAAGTACTGCAATACATTGTTAATGTTTTAAAAAATGAGTAGGTTTTTTGTGAGACTTGGGGAATTGGACACAGGGAGAATATATGTCTTAGGTTAGTGGCTGCTATAAAATAACAAAAATGATTATCAATGAAAAGAAGTAGAGAGCTACAGAACATATATCCATACATAATCTGGACTTGGGCATTCATGGCACATCAATCAATATCAAATGAAATATATGTTTAAAAAAAAAAAAACTGTAAAGCCTGATATAACATAGGATCAATATGAATTAACCAATCTGGAAAAAACCAAAACTTACAAAATATAAAGCCCAACATTCAGAGCTGTTTATCCATCATCCCAAGCCTGTAAAATGAAATTAATACTAACACCTACCTCATGGCATTGTGAGGATTAAATGAGAAATGGAATGCAAAGTGTTTAGTACCGTGTTCAGGCACACAATAAGTTCTCAAAAAATGTTTGCTATATTGATTACTACTGTGCAAGTCTATGGAAAAAAATACAAAGTACGTCAAACTGTTTCCTTAAATTACTTCTTAGCCCTAATGACTACAACTATTCAATTGTTATTAAATGACTATATACTATTCAAATCTCTCAACATGTAGGAAATTTCTCAATGGGTCAGGAAAAAATAAAATCAGTAGTTTATATTTATTTGAGAGCTTAAAAGATCTAACTAATTTTTCCCATGGGGATCTAAGGTGGTTACCTGCTTTAGTATGTTAGATATTAAATTATAAGATATATTCTACATTTACATAAAATGATACCACAAATCAATATATGACTCATTCTTCTACAAACTACCTTTCACAGAGATTTCAATTAAATTTAAGGAAATATTAAGCTGCCCCCCCGCCCAAAAAAAAACCTGGCATTAAGCCAAAATTAGTAAAATTACAATTTACAGCATTTCTAATTGAAAATTTGTCACTCATAAAATCAGAATAACTGACTTCTCCAAATTCCAATAAACCATAAAAAGCCATTACAGAACAGTCTTGTTTGAATATGATTATCTGGAGGGATGGTGGGGCGAGTATGCATGCCTAAACACTTCTATGAATAGAGAGCTTATTGTTTTACAAAGCACTCTGTTCCTCTGTTCAACTGCCCCAGTTAATAGAAAGTTATCTGGGGACTGTAAAATGTATTTGGTAAAACTTTAGGAGAAGTAAAATTCAAATCACATTTAGTTACTTATTTAAAAAGTTGCTTTACCAACTGAAGTAAATGAAAACAATCATTCTAAAAGTTGTTTAATGCCAGGCATGGTGGCTCACACCTGTAATCCTAGCACTTTGGGAGGCCAAGGCTGGTGGATCACGCGAGGTTAGAAGGCTGAGACCAGCCTGGTCAATGTGGTGAAACCCCGTTTCTACTAAAAAAAAAAAAAAAAAATTAGTCAGGTAAGGTGTGCATGCCTGTAGTGCCAGCTACTCAGGAGGCTGAGGTAGGAGAATCGCTTGAACCCGGAAGATGGAGGTTGCAGTGAGCCGAGACTGCACCACTGCACTCCAGCTGGGGCAACAGAGCAAGACTCCATCTCAAAAAAATAAATAAAATAAAAATAAAAGTTGTTTAATCAGCAAAAGAAAAAAAAATTCAGTAACAGCTCTTATACCTGGCTATAAGGACCAAGTTGGTATTTTGAGAAAGTGTTCAAATATATGTACATTATACCATCTCTGCTCTGTAGATACCTAATCTTAAAGAAAACTCCCTAGCTACATGAAAAGATTTAAGGAAATAAAGATGACTGCAGGAGCCTGTAACAAAGCAGGACTGTATTTTTAAAGTGTTCATGTCTTATCCAGGTATACCATTCAAGGATTTTTGCTCACAAAAAAATCTATGATGAGTGGCAAAGAATTTAGAATTTCCCTTTCAAATTTTTTTTTTTTTTTTAGATGGAGTCTCACTCTGCAGCCCAGGCTGGAGTGCAGTGGTGCAATCTCAGCTCACTGCAACCTACTCGTCCTAGGTTTAAGCAATTCTCCTGTCTCAGCCTCCCGAGTAGTTGTGATTACAGGTGCATGCTACCATGCCCAGCTAATTTTTGTATTTTTAGTAGAGACAGGGTTTCACCATATTAGTCAGGCTGGTCTTGAATTACTGACCTCAAGTAATCCACCTGCCTGGGCCTCCCAAAGTGCTGGGATTAAAGGCATAAGCCACCACACCTGGCCCTTTCAAAAAGATTATATTGTTGAAATTCAAAGAGTATTTTTATTACCTGCATTGCCAGACATGAATAGAAATAACAATACTGTTTGAAATTCTTACGCAAATCTCACATTAAGCTGTAAACATGTAATTTCCCTTTCTATATGCTAACATAGGTACACAGGCTTAAGGTACTACTGGTATGTTTGGAACCTCCATTTTAGAAACATATTGGCAAAAAGTCAATTTAAAAATGGACAAAGACCATGAACAGGCATTTCTCCAAACAAGACATAAAAATGGCCAGCTCCCTAGCTGTAGGCAGCTGCCTAGGTTGCCTTGTACCTAGGCAAGCATTACACTGCTGGGAGAACAGTAGCCAATAGCTGACTGGCATTCTGGCCCTGGTTCATGCCAACTCTGTGTTGACTACACCAAGATGCTAGCATAGTTGAAAAGAAAAAGAAAAAAGAAAAAAAAAAAACGAGGCCAGCTGGGCACAGCTGCTCACACCTGTAGTCGCAGATACTTGGGGGGCTAAGGTGGAAGGATCCCTTGAGGCTAGGAGTTCAAGGCTGCAGTGAGCTGATTGGTGACTGTACTCCTCCAGCCTGAGAAAACAGAGTGAGACCCCATCTCCAAGTAATAATATTTTTTTAAAAAAAGGTCAACAGGTATATGAAAAGGTGCTTGACATCACTAACCATAGGGAAAATGCAAATTAAAACCACTAATGAGATACCCCCTCACACCCTTAAGGATGGCTATGATCAGAAAGACAAGAGACAACAATTGTTGGCGAGGGTATGAGGGAAAGAGAACCCTAGTACACTGTTGGTGGGAATGTAGATTGGTACAGCCATTATAGAAAACAGTATGGAAATTCCTAGAGAAAGTAAAAATAGAACTACCACATGACCCAGTAATCCCTCTTTTGGGTATATTGTATACCCAAAGGTGATGCAATCACCACCTGTTCAAGATATTCACACTCTCATGTTCATTGCAGCATTATTCACAATTGCCAAATTTAGAAACAACTTAAGTTCCCATGGATGAACAAAAGGATCGAGAAAATCTGGTATATAAATATATTAGTGGAATATTATTCATCCTTACAAAAAGAGGGAGATACTACCATTTATGACACATGGATGTACCTGAAGGACATTATGCTAAGTGAAATAAGCCAGAAACACACACACACAAAAACATTGCATGATGTCATTTATATGTGGAATTTAAAAAAAACGAAACAGAGCTCAAATACAGAGATAGAGGTAACTGGTTACCACAGGTAGGGGAAGAAATGGGGAAAGGCAAGTCAAGGAATACAAAATATCAGATAAGTAGGATGAATAAGTCTAGAGATCTAATGTACAATATGAGGACCAAAATTAATAAAATTGTACTGTATTAGAAATTTTTGTGAAATATACAAATTTTAGGTGTCCTTATCACACAAAAAGATAGCTATGTGAGATGATGAATGTTTGTCTCCTTCACTACAGTAACCACTGTACTATGAATATGCATCCATGTGTATCTGCATCTATATATGTATCCCTTAACATCATGTTGTAAATCTCAAATATACCCAATAAAATTTATATTAAAAATAAGTAAATAAAGATAAAAAATGTAAAGAAAAAACAGGAAAATACCTTGGAAAACAATGGCCCCATAACATACAAACCAGAAATAAAAATTATGACTTATAAAGAATATCTTAAAAGGTTAAGAATAACAGGGTAATTTTCAATTAATCAAAAAATAAACTCAATGGAGTTGAAACGTTTCTATTATTTCAAATGCAGATATTTCAAATCTTGAATTTAAATATAAAATCTCAATTTACTCCATCAATGATATCAATTTTCACTGCTTCTGTTTATTAGTAAAAATATCTACATACTAATATAGATATTAATATATATCTACATATTAATGATTATATAAGTATCCTTATCAAAAAGATCAGAATTTTCTGCGGATGTTACTAGCATTTCCAAAAAATATGCATAGAATTTATAGGATTTGCTATTCCAAAGTTAGTATTAATGGTATGATCAGTCAGACCAAAAATAAAAAGTACATGTAGCTCATTTAAAAGAAAAGGTCTATCTATTGATAATTTATCTACTCTGGCAGGATATTAAAAACAAACAAAAAAAAACTTGCACATAAACTTAAATACTTTTGGAAAGTTATACTACAATGAAATTTAAACTTTCAAATCTGTCATCAT